GTATGTACTATATACTACAGTTATACTGTGCAAAATATCCATGCTACAGTATGTACTATATACTACAGTTATACTGTGCAAAATATCCATGCTACAGTATGTACTATATACTACAGTTATACTGTGCCAAATACCAATACTATATTATGTACTGTGTACTACACTCACACAGTACAGGTCACTGCTTGTGCTTGTGCATTTTCTTGGCAGTAGGAACACAGCAGTGGTCTATACCATGCCCTTTCTTTCCTTTCTCTCATCCGCTCAGCTCCACCTGCTCTATCTCCTCTTCCTCCGTCTCTTCTCTCTGCATTACATTTAAAATGTTGCCTTTCGGTGTCACCTGAGACAGGGATAGGGAGGCAGTGAGAAATTTCCAATGATGGCGAGACATAACTCATATGGACAAGGGCAATTATGTACCTCATAAGGAGATGAAAAGGGGATATTGATCTCCGTAAAGTATCTGAAGCTGCCGTTTAGTCAGAGGGGAATACTGATGTGACTCAGACACGCACTCAGGCATGGATTAAACACAGACTCACCGTCACAGACAGATAAACACAGTTCATATGTTCCTATCATTATGGGGACTCTTCTATCTATCACTCATGGACATAACCCCAACTAAGATAACCATAACCCTAACCCTAACCCTAACCCTAACCCAGCCCTAACCTTAACCATAAGTAACCAAACAAAATACTATACTTTTTGCTGTTTTAGTTTTTTTATTTTATTCAAAGATTTTTTATAAAATTGAGGTTTACATTGTGGGGACCTGAAAAATGTCCCCTCCAGCTGAAAAGTAGCAGGTTTTACCATATTATATGGTAAATACAAGCCCTCACAGACAGACACATTCACAGACAGACAGTCATAGACAGACACACCCAGTCAAGCATGGTTTAAACATAGACACACGCAAATACAGACACACACAGATGCACACTAACACACACAAGGCAGAAGCACACACACACACACACACACACACACACGCTTGCTCACAGAGACACAGACGCAGAAACACACGCAAAATAATAATGTCGGCCATGTGCTCCTCCACAGCCCCTCCCACTTAAACCTCCATTACTCTTGTCAGAGCTGCCAGTGGCTGATGTTTTATTTAATAAATGAGGGGGAGACATGAGGCTGGAAACCACACATGGTGGAGGGGGGGACATGGTGGGGGGGTGGATGGGGTAGCAGAGCAGCTGTCAGTGGGGATCCAGCATGTTTCAGCAGCCTCCCCTAAATGAATTATCACAACGTCATTGCGGTCAGCAAATGAAATTTATCTACGAAAAATTAAGGTCAGCACTTTCATCGTAGACCTACTCCCTCCCCCATCCCGCTCTTTCTAAAAGCAGACAGGGGCAGAGTAGGTTAATGCGTTTCTGGTGTTACGCTTCCTTCGCTGGCTCCAGTCGGCGAAACCCGAAAGCCAATGGCAGCCAAAGGACTTTCACAGTTGGGGTGGGGCGGGCATTAGCTAGCTCAACTGCAGTGCGATTGGCTGCATTGCTTTGATTGACATTTCTCTTGCAGCTGTCGGACTCAGGGATGTATACCTGTGTGGCTGGCAGCTCTACTGGGGAGACCACCTGGAGCGCATTCCTGGAAGTGAGAGGTATGCTGGCATGCAGAAATGCCTCACACACACACACACACACACACACACACACACATGTTTGTATTTATATCTTTGTGGGGACTCTCCATTCATGTCTATGGGGAAAACCCTAATCCCAACAATGACACCCTTAACCCCCACCCAGCCCTAACCTTAACTATAAGTAACCAAACAAAATACAAAGCTTTTAAACCTTTTTAGGTTTTTAATCGCAGTCACGGATTTTGATGACAAATGAGTTTCCCCTTGTGGGGACCAAAAAATTGATCGGCACAACATCAAAATAACAGGTTATTATCACATTGTGGGGACATTTGGTCCCACACACACATTATGAAGGGACTAGCCATTGACTCCCATTGTGCGTTTATAGAAACCATTCAGCATAGCACTGCTGAATCGATCCATCATGCTGTTATATAGCCCTCCTGTTGGCTTTAACAAGTCATTCTCCACTGACCTCTCTGTTTAACAAGGTGCTTTGGCCACAGGACCACCACTGACAGGATGTTTTTTGTCTATTGCACTGTTCTTTACAAATTCCCAATACTGTATTGTGTGGGGACGCCAGGACAGTGGCTGTTTCGGAGATACTGGGATCCCCGAGCCCAGTGCCCTCCATTGCTCCACGTGGGTCTGATGTTCTAATGTTAACCATGCAGTAACAACACCTCTTGACCCTGTCTGTGTGCTGCATGTATTCCGCTGCAGTCTCATAATTTATTGCTTGGGGGAACAAGCTGTTTGAGAAGATGTAGCTAGAGGCCACTGAGCATAGACACTGGGTGTACGGTGCTAGAAAGTTTGTGAATCCTTTAGAACTCACTCTGTTTCTGCATTAATGACTTAAAATGTTGTCTAAAACTAGACAAAGAAAATCCAATTGAACAAATGACATAAAATATATTTGTTCCTCTATTCATTGAGGAAAATGATCCAATATTTATTTATATATATTTGTGTGTGGGAAAAAGTTTGTCAGTAATCCCCCATGTGCAGCAATGGCTTCAAGCTAAACATTTCCATTAACTGTTCATTAGTCCTGCACATTCCTCCTTACAGAACAACTTCAATTCAGGGATGTTGGTGAACTTCCTCACTTGCAATTCTAGCAATGCAAAGGTGTGTGTGTATGTGTGTGTCTGCCTGCATGCATGTGTCTGTGATTTTCAAAAAGATTCATAATTTCACATATTTCCAACCCCCGCCCCCCTTCCAGAATCTGGTGGGGCCACTCCTTCCGCTCCCTACGATGCCAGCGAGCTCCCTGGGCCCCCGTCCAAGCCGCAGGTCACTGATGTCACCAAGAGCAGCGTGTCGCTGTCGTGGCAACCTGGGCCAACGGGGGCGTCGCCCATCTCGCTATACATCATCGAAGCATTTAGGTTTCTGCTCGCATTTTCCTCAAATCAATCAATCAATCAATCAATCAATCAATCAATTAATCTATCTATCTATCTATCTATCTATCTATCTATCTATCATCGTGTTATGTTTTGTTTTATATTATGTTGTGTTATGTTTGTTATGTTCATATTCAATTAATTCAATTAATCGAATATGAACATAACACAATTCCACTAGCGATGGGTTTCATCAGAATGTAACCCCATCCTAAGTCGAGGAGCATCTGTAGATAGATGTTTCAAGGTATTTCCCCTTTAAGTAGACTTATTTAGCTATGAGATTGATCAGAGGATTGGCTGACTTACTGACAGATTAATTAACTAATTGTTTAATAGGCTGACGGATCCACTCAATGCCTCTTTGCCTTTCAGCCAGTCGGTGAGTAACAGCTGGCAGACGGTGGCGGAGCGTGTTAGGGCCACACAGCACACGGTGCGCGGCCTGCGGCCCAACACCATATACCTGTTCATCGTGCGCGCTGCCAGCTCCCGGGGCCTGGGGGGCCCCAGCCCCGTGTCCCAGCCAGTCCGCACGCAGGGTGGGTCTGGCCGCAGCCGAGGGGAGGGGCTGCTGGAAACCACAATGCTAAGAGGCAGGAGGCAGTTGGAGTAGCTCGACAATTAGAGCATTGTAATCATAAAGCAAAAGTTGTGGGTTTAAATCCTGTGAATCGCACGTAAATTGTAACTGTTGTTTCTACGGTAAGTTGGTTTGGATAAAAGTATCATAAAAATTAAATGTACTAGTCAAAAGTTTGGACATGCCTACCGATAGAAAGGTTTACTTGTATCATTCGCTTCATTTTAGAATAATTATAGCAATAAAAACTATTAATAACATATATGTAATTATGCACTGGTCAAAAACGTATTAAACAAAAAATTATAATTTTTTGAGGGGCAGCTCTGTGGGTTGGGACTCAGAGGGTTGCTGGTTCAAATCCTGTGGTCAGCAGAACTCTTCCAAATTCATTTCTACTGTGTTTAGGTCAGGTGGCCAGGCCATGTGATGCGACACTATCACTCTATTTTGTAGGCAGCTTGGCATGTCTCAGCTTTTGAATGGTACTGTATATTAGCCTTAATAAGCGAGTTAGTGCCACAAGCAGATCGACAGGTTATGTGCTTGGTTTTATTCATTTCTTTGTGGAATTCCCATACTGACTCTCACCCTCCCATTATCCCCCCACGCCGATCAGACCCAAGCCCTCCCGCACAAGGTGTGGACCACCGGCAAGTGCAGAAGGAGCTGGGAGAGGTGGTCATTCATCTACATGACCCCCAGGTCGTCAGCGCTACTGCCATCCAGGTTACATGGACGGTGAGTCGCAACCCAATAGATCTCACAGTGATGTGGAGGGGGGGGGGAGCGAGGTAGAGAGAGGGACAATGCCTGAAGACCCCATTGTGCTGCTATTTGTATAACCTTTATATAAAATTAATATATTTTCATGGCTTTTCTTACTGTTCTGTTTTCTGTGGTTCTGTTCCACTCAATTCCACTCCATTCTGTTCCTTTCCGCTCCATTCTGTTCTCTTCTTTTTTTTACCTTTGACTCTACTTCTTCTGTGTTTCCACATAGAAAACTGTTTCCAAAATTGTTCTATAAAATATATATATTTGGCCAGCTACTAAATCACCAAGAAATAACTCATACCTGAAGCTCTCAACACGTTTTTTAAGTTTTTTTTACATAAATGGAAGAGAGTTGTAATTAATTCTTCACATTTTCCTCTTTTACACCAAAATGACTGCCCTCTTTTTTCTCACTATTCAAAAAGAGCAGCTTAATTGCACCAATAATCCTCCCACACATTCATGCGCACACACACATCACATACTCCCAGCATGGTGAGAATATAGCAGTTTTATATATTCCAGATCAGGGTCATCATCCGAAAATCCAGGGCTGAATTCACAGATGAGGCACAAACCGAAAGCAATCCTTTCTGACTGTACAACAATACGACAGACATCGATAAGAGCTGTCTGTGATGGGCATCAATAAAGGCTGTCTGTGAAGGAAATCTAGGGTATGTGAAGGTCATCTATAGGAGGGTTCTGTGATGGAAATCTATAAGGGCTGTTTGTGACGGAAATTTATAAGGGCTGTCTGTGAAGGACATCTATAAGCACTGTCTGTGAAGGACATCTATAAGCGCTGTCTGTGAAGGACATCTATAAGCGCTGTCTGTGAAGGACATCTATAAGGACTGTCTGTGAAGGACATCTATAAGGGCTGTCTGTGAAGGACATCTATAAGGACTGACTTTGAAGGACATTTCTAAGGGCTGTCTGTAATTTCTGAATATTAAATGATTGTGCTTCTGCCATGAAAAACAAGGACACACCACCAGCAAATCCCTGGCACACTGATATCAGATATAAATTCTCCACTGCACCCTTGCATTATTAATATTAATATAGCTTGTTTTGTACAGTAGCATGACTGTTTGATCCCGGTTACCCAGCACTGCATACAGAGAACAAAAATGTAGCCTTGATAGAGCCACAGCCTCAGTCTTGATCCCCATTAAGGAGGGTGACACACTTCCTGTCAGCTCATGAACCGTGTCTGACGTGAAGGCATTACTTCCTCCCTGATGCGTGGGCGGATTGAAAGGTACGCTCTGGTGCTTTGGGGATACAGCATCCTCACTGATGACCCACCAGGCACCGCTCCGGGCTGAAGGAGCGCTGAGATTTTGTAGACAAGACCGACGCAGCTCTTCTCCAGGATGCAAGGACCCTCCTGTGGGTGCTGAACGTGCAAGTGCAGGTGCACCTCCCCCCAGATTTATCCTGGGAACCATTGGCGAGTCTAACAGCTTGTACACAATCCACACATCTCTAATTCTGCTGCCGCTAGCGGGATTTTCCTGATGTTTTGACACTTTGGTTAAACGCTCCTTGGACAGGGTCTAAGTTCAGCTCGCTCAGCATTCTGTCCAGACGGTGGGGAGATGCCTGTTTTGCATGTCGAGGCTGTCACGCTTTCCACATGCAGGTCTGACCCGGAAAAATCTGTCCCTCGATTCTGCTGTCTCCTTGGGCTGGCCAGCTCTTCAGTGTCGTGGTCTCCCACTTAGATTTGGATCTGTGATTGTTGTTGAATATTTCCTAGGGCTATGTTGGGAAAAGCACCAGATGAAACTGAATTGAATTGGAGGATCCTCAATGGATCATCCAATCTGCTGATGACCTCACTTGTAAACGAGCCCCCATCACACAGCGCTGTGTTCAGCACACTTGGGTAACAGTCCTACACAGATGGTCCCTGGATGCCCCCCCTCTGTGACTTCACTGGAAGACAGGGGTAGCCTCAGGTGCTGGAGAGGGCCTGATTTCCAAGAGCCATGGTTCACTGTATAACTAAGACAGTTTAGTCTTTATTCCAGTTTAGCTATGGATGGCTGGATGGATGGATCTATCATGGTCTATGTTCTTTGGTGGGTTTGGAAGCTCAGAGCTGTGGACTCAGCATCTGGGGACTCTGATCTCTGCAGATACTGTATGGCAGGGAGCTATGAGCTGATACGGCTGGTTCGGACGAAGACCCTGGGCATCCACTCTCCTCTCTGCTGAGGCCCCGTTTCCCAAGAGGCCATTGGCCATGCCCTCCTTCCGGAACATTCTGCATACTCCGCGAGTGGCACACAGTAGATGTAAATGCTTAGCGTTTAGGTTAGGGGAATAAATCATGCCATTATACCTCCGCTGTAGATCATCCTTTGTGAAATTAACTGCTTAATGGTTATAATTTAAATCAAACTCAAACCTCGGTTTTGTGGTCTGTCAGTTACTCTCCATTGTCACACGGTCGACATGCTTATACACTAATGTGTAAAAGTCGACGGAATCCACTGCAGCCTTTGTGTTCCTTAATGAAAAATAAAAAAATGCTGTTCATCACAAATCTTATGTCCTTCAGAGAAGGACTATGACTAGCTATTACCAATTTGTTGCTCAGCCATGATCTTAACCGATGGGACTGTACCACCTCCCTGCATACCTGTCAAGTTTTGGATCTTAAAATAAGGGACATTTTCCGGCACCCACCGCGAGCCGCCCCACCACCCCAACCAAGCTCCAGTATCCCTTACATTTTAAGACAGGTGTACAAGAAATCTAAAATAACAACTTGTCATTTACATTTTATTTTAATTTCTCATGTTCACTCATGTGGCTCTCTGGCATTCACTAATGACTTATTATACAGATTTGTTGCAGACTTTGTATCCTTGTTGAAGTCGTCACAGAAGGTGAAAGTAACATTGTTTTTGGCACACAGCATTGCCATTTTAACCTCCGCATTTATGACCTGGTTAATGTTGTAAATGACCTGCAGGCTACTGCAGGTGGCAGTTCTCAGAGGCTACTGGCAGTTCAGTTTGGAGAGGCAGAGGAATTTTTTTTAAATGATATTATTATACGGGAGATTTACGGGAAAATACTAATACGGGAGGACGGCGGGAAACAGGGGTAAAATACGGTAGTTTCCCGGCCAAAACGGGAGACTTGACAGCTATGCCTCCCTGATAAACCAGGTGTGACTTCCTGTTCATTACACGGGCACTTCCTGTGAGGGATTGGCATGGAAACGGCGGCAAGATGCACGTCATTTAAGGGCGAACAGCAAAACGCAGCGGGGAGGCAGGAAAACACACATACACACACACACACACACACACACATACACACAGTAACACACACACAGAATCTCATTTATTTTATTAACACTAACTGTGGCGGAGCAATCAGTAAGTAAGAAAAGTAAAGCTTTTATATTCCCGAATCATTCAATTAGGGGATTGTAAACACAAACGGGTAGAGCACTCAGCTGATTTATTCTCCTAGTGAAAACGTATCATTTTATATTCCTCTTAAAAGCCCTGGCCATCTTCTCCCACGGTTTACAGGCCATTACAGTGACTTATTCCTTCGATGCCCACATCCATTAAACTGTACAGGGCAGAGTGCTGCCTTTGGAGCTGCTCGCCGGCGCCCCCTGCCTGTGGACAGCCCCCCTCCCCAATACCAATCACCCGGCTTTGTGATTCATGAAGACGAATCGTGCTGCAGCAGGCATTTTCATTGGAGGACAGCAGAGTTGGGGCCGCTTAGGCGTGCCGCCCTCCTGATGGGCGTTAATTAAGCGGAGGGCGTCGGCCGCGGTGGTGGGACGGGCTGTGAGAGGGATGCACATCTCTGTGGTCGCCATGGTGAAGCCATCCTGGGTTTGGCTACGATCAGGTGACCTGCTGAGACGTGGACTTCTGTCTGGTTCTTCTCTTTTCTGTCCTTTTCTGCTGTTCCCATAACCATTTGTACTTCATACTTTATTTTTACATCCATTCTTGCTCTTCTTACTGTCTGCTTTTCAGCAGTCTATATGTGAGTTACCTTAATGTACTTCCTGTTATGTAACTCCATTAGCTCCGCCCCCTCTGTACATTCCACCTCATCCACACCTTGATTGGTTTTCTCCCTGCAACTTCCTGTTTCCGCTCAGGTGGACCAGCAGACGCGTTTCATTCAGGGCTACCGTGTCCTATACCGCCAGGCCTCGGGCCTTCCGGCCCCCGGGCCCTGGCAGGGCCAGGATGTGACCCCGCCCTCTGAGCGCAGTGTGGTGCTCTCCGGTCTCAGGAAGGGCGTGGTCTATGAGATCAAGGCCCGCCCCTACTTCAATGACTTCCAGGGGGCCGACAGCGAGTCTAAGACGGGCCGCACTGCGGAGGAAGGTGGGGAAGAGGCCTGGATTTCCATCAGATACTGGGATAGTGAACAGTGCTTCAGTGGTTACCAGTGTAATATGTAAAATATAATAGTACAATCTGAGTAAGCAGCATTTAAATATTGTACGCTATACATGGGGGCATCTCTGAATTGCTTGCAATGTGTAATTGTGTGTGTGGATGTGTGCGTGTGTGCTGCCTGGGATAGGCCCCAGCCCCCAGCCCCCAGCCCCCAGCCCCATTACCCTGACCAGGATTGGTGGCTAGACGGTGGACTGATGGATGGATAGTACAGTATCCATGCACTGAAATTGTATATATAATATATCATACACACATACATATAGCTGTGTGAATAGGTCATTCTAATTGGACAGCTGGACACAGTGATGTAATAATGGGTGCTGGACTCAGACTCTGATTGGCTCATTATGCCTCCAGCCCCCAGCGCTCCTCCTCAGCAGGTGACCGTCGTCACCCTGGGGAGCCACAACAGCACTTCCATCAGCATCTCCTGGGACCCCCCACCCGCCGACCACCAGAACGGCATCATCCAGGAGTACAAGGTGCCCCGTGTCCCCCCCCCCCCAGCCTAAAACAGGGGTCTCCGTGAATTCCTGCAGGGCCAACCGCTTTTGTATCTGCTCAGCAAATCCGCCCATATTAGTGTTTCTGACGCTTTCCGCGGTGATGAAGTGCGTCTCCGGATGCGGCCCGCATTTGTGCTGAGAATTCAGAAACACGCTGTGTTATAGATGTGGTGGACACACAGAGCCCCCCGCGGATAGGGCTGGTAATTAACCACCAGTTGGACCAATCATGTCAGAGGAGAGGTTTGTAATGAAAATTAAAAGCCAGCCGATTCCCAGTTCTCTAGCTACGGAGAGGAAAAGCACACCAGTCTAAAGTCTAAAGCCTGTTACCAAGTGTGTATATGAGTTATCAGAGACTACACCCTTTTCCTGTAAATACAGTGACTTTACTCTGTTTTTACCATGATTCCACTCACCCGTGTTATAACTATTTTGTAACCTGTCTCATTGTGCTAGGTCTTTTCTCTATTGTCTCCCTCCTTCAGTGTTTAATGTTGCTCGATTTGGGTTTGGACACTAATGTTATTTTCATTGTGATTTTTTTTTTCTTAATAACTATATTAAGACTGTTTTTTGTGCTGTCGGACATCCCTGACTTTCCCTGGCATGTTGTTGCTGATGTCGCGGGACTGACCTTATCAGGTCATAAATAGCCAATCAATTCCCTTTGCCTTAACCTGACTCCTCCCCCCCCCGGCCCCACCCTCAGATCTGGTGCCTGGCGAACGAGACGCGTTTCCACGTGAACAAGACCGTGGACGCCGCCATCCGCTCAGTTGTGCTGGGGGGGCTGCAGCCAGGGGTGCAGTATCGCGTGGAGGTGGCCGCTACCACCAGCGCGGGCGTGGGTGTGCGGAGCGAACCACGACCAGTCCTCATAGGTGAGGGGGGGCAGAGTGGGTGGTTGGGTTAGGTAGTGCAAGAGGTGAGTTTGCTGGAGGAGAGTGAGCAAGACCCACTTCCATTTATATCTCAGTGGTTCATCCTATCTGATCTATTGGTTGTTGGTTCAAGTCCTAGAATCAGCCTTCATTTAGTATCCTCAAAAATATACACCTCAAATCTACTCTATGAGCCAAAGTCCCTTTGCCTAAAGGAATGTGACATATTTTCATGATTGCTATTACATTTTTTTTTACATTTGATTTATTTAATAGATGCTTTTATCCATTTTGGAGATTAACAAGGTCAGACAGTCCCTGGAGCAGCTGGGGGTTACAGGCCTTGCTCAAGGGCCCAAAGGTGACATCATTCAGTTGACTCTAGGATTTGAACCGACGACCTTCTGAGCACAGACACACAGTCTTAGAGCCACGCGCTGCCCCCAATTAATTAGTAATTAAATTGCTGTAATTAAATTTATATTTGCAGAGAAATGATTAACTCTGATTTGTTTATTTAAAAACAGTAATAAGGTCAAAATTAGTTAATGGCTGGACTAATTACAGGACTGAAATGGAGGCCGCCGTTGTAGAAGGAGAGGGCCAGGTGTCTGGGCCCGGGCTCCTGCTGTCCCATTTCTAATCTAATCCCCACAAAAGAGACGTGTAAGATGCTGCAGGAGTGGAGGCTTAATGCGGAGATCAGGGGTTCGCGTTCCACGGCGGGCCGCTGCAGTAATTTCACAGCACGCTGCGTGCGTGTAAAGACAGGGCTCCCTCTCCACCTCTCGAGCTGATGGTCACCGGGACCCGTCCGCTCCCTGTCCGCCCCAGTGAGCGGCAGACGCTGCCGCTGTTTATTTGCGTGTGAGACATGATCATTTAGGACACCGTGCTGTGCTCACAGCTGCGCTTTTGCGTCTTTTCTCTTGTTCTGCAGCTGGATGTCTGGCCAGTTGCTTGTTTTTCTTTCATTTTTTTTTTCTCAGTGAGCAGCAGTGTGTCAAGCATATCTGAGCACAGATGTGTTGCACGAAACACACCAATCGTTTTATTAATCGAAGTGAAATCAAAACTGATTATACCAGATTTGTCATTCAGGTACCCATCATGTGTGTGCCATGCCCACTCATTTGATTATACTTCTTTGGAGAATTAATTCCCACGCTCCCACCCCCCTCCCCCGCCAGGTAAAGACTCCAAAGAGGTGGTGTCGGGTGGGGAAGAGAAGAGCAGCCTCTCGGACGTGGTGAAGCAGCCAGCCTTCATCGCTGGCATCGGAGGTGCCTGCTGGATTGTGCTCATGGGCTTCAGCACCTGGCTTTACTGGCGGAGGAAGAAGAGGAAGGGCCTGAGTAACTACGCAGGTGAGGTGGACCAAACCCGAGCGAACCGGAACACATGAGTGTGGGACGGGACCCAAACAAACCAGAACGCACGGATGTGGACAGGACCCAAACAAACCAGAATGCACAGCTGTGGGACTGGACCCGAACAAACTGAAACATACAGGTGTGGGACTAGACACAAACAAACCGGAACACACGGATGTGGGCCTGGACACAAACAAAACGAAACATACGGTTGTGGGACTGGACACAAATAAACCGGAACACGCGGGTGTAGGACTAAACCCAAATAAACCAAAACACACGGGTGTGGGACTGGACCCGAACATACCAGAACATATGGGAACATACAGTACCAAACCACATGGGTGTGGGACCGAAAACAAACACATTGAAACACATGGGTGTGGGGTAGAAATTGAAGATACCGAAACACATGGATGTGGGAAAGGACCCAAACAAACTGAAATACATGGGGGTGGGACAGAACACAAAAAAGCCAGACACACGGGTGTGGGACAGGATCCAAGTAAATCCAGAAGCACAGGTGTGGGTCAAAACCCAAACAATCCCTGATACAAAATGCAAATGCAGGCCATCCCTGTTTGTGTGCTACACGCAGATTGGACTCTATGCCTGGCTTAATGTACTCCGACACAAAGATGCGCAGGTGCTTGGGTGAAAGGTATTACATTCACTTCAATAGGCTCTTTAGCCTAATATGCCCAGCAGTGCATTGATTCTGAACTGGAGCAGACCTGACTCCCACCCCCAAATCAGGACAAATTGCAATCTCGTGTTTGAGTTAGGAAATGCCATTACTCAGGAGCCGGGGGTCCTATTGTTCACACATGACTGGCTAATTTATTCTTAGCCTTTAAGGGGAGATGTTTGGCAATCTCCTGAGGGGTAATGATTCGCCATAGTGAAGGAATCTCATAGCCGTATGGTGGTTTGCATTACAATCACCATGCTCTCGACGGGGGATGACGAGGACACAATTATTTATTCATATCGTTGAGACTGTTTCTATATTTAGGGGCTTTTTTGTTGTCTAGGTGTAGGGGATTCTGAAAGGCTAGAAAAGGGATTCTGTTTGCTGAGCTTTCACCCCATGTGTGTCTGTAGCTGACTTTCCAGCCATATGGCTGTGTGCATGTATCACAGTGGTAATGAATCATAGACTTAATCATTTGGAGCCCATGTGCCGTGGAATGCACATCAGATGTGACAGGACACAGCACAGACCTAAACCATCAGAGGTCTGCATGGGGCAGGACACAGCACAGACTTAAACCATCAGAGGTCTGCATGGGGCAGGACACAGCACAGACTTAAACCATCAGAGGTCTACATGTGGCAGGACAAAGCACAGACTTAAATCATCAGAGGTCTACATGTGGCACCACGCAGCACAGACTTAAACCTTCAGAGGTCTATATGTGGTAGGATTCATCTCAGACTGAGACTGGCTTATGTTTCATTTTTGGACTCAGGTTGCTTCAGTTCTTGTGCCTTTGGTTCACCTAGATGCTGAAAATAAGAGGGCTATGCTCTACCTCTGTGTATGTTTGAAGAAAGATTTATCAGTGTCATTTGACTTCACTGTACAATAAATAGACATGGCAGTTTCTGAATGGTTTCTTTACTCATTCAAGTGTGATGTTGTCCGCATCCATGTTTGCTTGTTGTCTGTTTTCGTCGCCATTCAGTGTGTCTGCACACCTCTTTGACCTTCGAGGTGACTGCTTTCTTCAGGCTCTGTCCCATGATTTGGGCGGGGTTTCTGGAGAGGCCCCTCCCGCTGTAATCCATGCCCCACCTCCAGCTTGCACAGGTTCCGAAGTGAAAAGGCTGATCACTGCAGGGTTGTAACATTCAATCTCTCTGTCTTCTTGTTTTGCAGTTCAGTCCTTCACCTTCACCCGTGCAGGTACTGCTCATTTGTCCCTGTCCTAACCATAGATATAGATCTACTAGACTGGCCAGAAGAATTTCATAAACCTATCTTATCCAAAAAGATATGGGATGTTCTGAAATAAAAACCACCTCAGTTGTTGCGTACTGTTCTCAGGTTCACGGAAGCATTGTAACACATGGCCACTTGGCCTTACAGACAGTTTTTCATTGCGTTTTTATGAGTAGCCTCATTCGAGTAGATATATTTCTATGGCCATAGCATTCTTTGAGACCTGTGAATCAGACTCACAGGGTGTTGTGATCCAGCTGATGAATGTCTCAGATTCTTCTCTTTGAATGGAATAGCAGCTGCCTTGTTTATTATAGAGAAATGCAGAAAAAACCTTTAAGGTATTTTTAAATGTGCTGATTAGATCTGGAACAAAAAAAAGATGTTCTTCTGTGAAAGGGAAAAAAAATTGCCTTTGTTGAATTTCACAATGTCATTGAGCAAACACTCAGGTTAAGCCAACAAATTCAAATGGCTTAATCAATGACTTGAGGTTATATGAGCCAGTTTTTGATGAGTCAGTTCATGAAGATACATGGCTGTTCTCCGGGGCTTTGTACGAAAGCCGACTCTGACCCTTCCCTGGCTCGTCCCAGCTTGCTTCCTGCAGGTCTCTTTATTAAAGGGGGCTGCTCCCTGTTAAAGGTTCTGCATTTTTGTCTGATGGAAACTCTCTTGTCAGAGTAGGTTGTTCACTGGTGATGTCCAGTCATTTCAAGTCATATTTGAAAAACCTGCCAGATCTTGGACAGAATAATCGTTACAGGTTTAGGATTTGCTTTCAGGGATAAGGAGGTTTGATCTCTGGTCTGGTCCTAAGCTGAAGTGTTACCCTTGACTTTGACAGCAGTTATATGGTGTGTGAAATTTCTACTTGCATTACTGTTGACATCGTCTTGCCAACGGGCTCTCTCACACTCCACAGTTATGTCACCTGGAAGCATACTCATGATGCTCGGCTCTGTCACTGCTTTTATTTGCTTATAACATCTGGCTGGATATTTCACTAAAGCGACTCATAATAAACTAACCTCACCCCTGCAGGGTTGTGAATCACCAGCATTTCCTTAATCACCTTACTAATGCTTCCCTCAACTTCAGTCTTTGTCTTTTTATTGGCCATTTATGGTCACCTGACCTCCTGTGTGATGTTATGGTTCATGTGATCATGGAACATACATCATGGACAGAACTAAAAAAAAAAAAGCATTTGTTCCTTCATGGCTCTGACCACCGTCTGCTTTCTTTCAGTTTCTCCTTGGCCTGTCTCTTCTCTCACCTGTAGCTTTTATCTCTGGTCACTCTCAGCGCATAAGGGGACTTAAGGAAGGTATTCCCCTGCAGGAATGTTCACTGGCTTCTGTTTAATCTTCACCCGCGACGTACACACCTGGCAGGTTCCTCACAGTTTTCCCACCACCACCACCTCCTTCTCCTTGTCTTGCACACTGGTTTGTGGGGTGACCTCCAAAACCGCTGCCAGAACATCGGTTACCGCCGATGAGGCCTGCATTATCTGTGACATCATCTCAGCAGTCATTGTCGCCCCCGGCGATCCTCCTGACAGGGCTGATAGACAGTCACGCTGTCAGTCTCATCACACGTTGAATATCGTGTCGTCGATTTAGGAAATTAACCTATTTTGCCGCCCTGGTCGTTTGAAGACAGTTTACCAGCTGAGAGATGTCTCTTACTGGGAATGCTGGCATCTAGCAGAAATGGTTGTGGAGGTCACCTGGTTAGCCTGAGGACCACAGGTGCTGGGCTGACACGTGTCCTGTCTCTCCGCAGTGACATTCCAGCGAGGGGAGAGAGGCCTGATGGGTGGTGGAAGGTAAGAACATCTCAGCTGGGATTTCTCAGTAGAGGAGGTCATTTCTGCTATGCAGGGGATGCCTCACCCTGCCTCGGTCTAACTCAACAGTGATGCAACCATGCCCAAGGCAGCGTGGGTGAGGCAGGGGCTTACAAGGCTAAAGCCCTGAATGCATTTGGAGAAGCCCCTTCACAACCGCTATCACTGTCTCATGATTTATAGGCTAAGTCTCGGATATTGTCTGACCTCAGAACCACCCCTGCGAGCCAGTATACCGGCATCGCAAACAGAGGAAGGTAGAGAGGCAGATCACTACTAGAAGTGTCTGTGTGTGTGTGTGTGTGTGTGTGTGTGTGTGTGCACGCATGTGTGTGTGTATATATGTGTGCGTGTGTGTGTGCACATGTGTGTGTGCGTGTGTGTGCGTATACCCACCACACACATCAAAATAGCAGCCTGAAAATCTCCCCATTTTCACTTCCTGTCTGCAGACAGATATGCTTTATTAAACCGAAGCGATCTGTGTTAAATTCAATTTTAACTAAACATGATAACTAATTTCAAAGATGGAGATACCCTGTGTAAATTTACTGCCAGTATATTTATTGACTGAAATGCCATTGTGACCAGTCTGTAAGATAAAGTCATTTGACGTGAAAGCTAACAGGCATAGGTGGGCAAACAGAATTATGGATGGTAACGGGCACATAGAAAAGTAATAAATACTAGCTAATTACGAACACATTTATCCTGGGCTATAATGTGTATATCACAGGGGTTAGCGCCTGCACTCAGGACGCTAGCGCGTGAGCAGCTGATGCTAATTTATATCCCCAGCGTGCTGCAGTCGTACGGAGACTCCCCCTCACTTGTTGATGCATTGATGGAGGAAGTCTCTCCAGTTTTTCAGATAATTAACCACAGAGAGGCATGCTTTATACCCACCATTCATCCCCGGCTGTCGTTGCGGGGAGTCGCGACGTGCCCCCCCCCCCGCCACCGTGCAGTGATGTATGTGCCTGTCGCCAGTGGCGACCGTGGCTGGAAAGAGAGGAGGGCCAAGGTTAGATGGTAAGCTCACTGGTGCCCCCTACAGGTGGGCTCATATATAATTTATGTATTCAGCAGATTTTTTACCCAAAGCTACATAAAATAGAGAAAGCAGGGTCAGTCAGTCCCTGGAGCAACTGGGGGTAAAGGGCCTTGCTCAGGGGCCCAACAGTGACATCACTCTGCCGAATCCGGGATTTAAACCGATGACCTTCCGATCATGGACACCCGCTGAGCCTTATACCACCCACAAAGAGAGCTGTATGTTCGCGTGTTAAGCTAAAAATGTATGCGTATATGAGAGTGCGTTTGTGCCAAGGGTGTCGATTTGGGTATGGATGGTAAGGGCATGTTCCTACTAATATTGTGGGAGTACCGAGTGTGTTTAGGGGGGCGGGGGGTTTGCGGATGATTTGGTCCCTGCCTATGTTACAGCGAAACGTACGCCCTTGGTTTGTGCCTCTGTGGATATGTGTATATTTGAGGTTGTCTACGTGTGCTTGAGCCTCTATATGTTTGTGTGTCCGTTTACTTGGCTGTTTTATGAAAATAGCAATTTGTGCAGTATTTTTGCCAAACCACGGCGCTTTCTCTTTGGAATAGCCCGACAGTCTAGCAACCTTACCCTGTGATCGGAACGGCGCTGCGTGTGGGCGGCGGCTCCCTGTCCACGCCCAGACTGGGGCACTCGCTCACTGAACAGACGGCCTCCAGTCAGCAATAACGTCCGTTCATTTCAGAAAGCAAATTAATGTTCCTAATGTGTAGCATTTGGCGCGGGCTGCCTGCCCCCCTCGAGGCCCAGTAAAAACCCCCCGTTTATTGACTCGATGGTGATAATCTCCACCCCCTCCCAACCACACAGGCATGCGGTCCACTGAATTATGGGTAGCGTAGCGATTTGTCACGGCGTGGGGGGGTGACACTCGAGTGTGGCGTTCGCGTGTGTGCCGTTCGCAAGCAGCCCCCGTGGCCTTAGGCTGGATTCTATGTCTGTTTTGCTCTCTGCGCTGCTTAAGTAAATGATTAAATGACTAAATATTGCCAGACTGTAAGTAAACGTGTGTCTCGCTCACCCCCCCACTTCCCCCCACCCCACCCACAGCCGGCCTGGCCTGCTGAAAGCTGGCAGCCCTGCTTTTCCTTGGCTGGCGGACTCCTGGCCCACTTCCAGCCTGCCTGTGACCGGCGGCGCCGGGGGTCCCGGCGATTCTGGCAACTATGGCCGTGGGGGTAAGGGGGGGGCGAGGATTCATGGCTGTTCAATGGCATGGAGACACAGTGACTTTGTGTGTCTGTCTGGCTGTGTACAGATGCAAGATGCACAGAAATGTGACAACGATCCTAGGAAATGTTCTTCTCGCTCCACGCTGAGCTTCTGCCTCTTTCTCTTCCTCCTCCTCCTCCTGTCCTCAGACCTTCTGCCTGTTGGCCAGGGTGAGAAGACGAGCACCATGCTGTCTGACGGCGCCATCTACAGCAGCATAGACTTCAGCAGCAAGCCGGCCTTTGGTAGCCAAGCCACACCCTACGCCACAGCACACATCCTGCAATCCAGCAGCTTCCACCAGCTGTCCGTGGAGGTGCCTGATCCTCGCTGGAAGGCCCCTCCTCTGGCCCGGCCGGACACTTCCACCTTGGGCTATGCACTGGGCGATCCCCACTCCTGCAACAGCAGTACGTGTGTTTGGAGGGAAAACGCGCACACGCACGTGCGGGTTTGCATCTGTTGGCCGCGTGCCTGCTGCTCTAACCGCATGCCGTGCATGAGCCCGTGCTAGCTGCCCTGACACCGCTGTGATTTTTGCCCTCTGACCCCTCCCCCAGCACTCCTTTTCATTCCCGACAACCGATTGGCCGATGGATTGTGTAGTAGAATCCCTCACAACCAATCACAAGATTTCAGCAGCAGCAGCTCCCACAACAGCTCAGAGCGCACCCTCTCAGGTTGGTTGTCCGCATGTGTATTGGATGGGATCCTTGCCTATCACTCCACAGCACGCCGCTAAGGGGCAGGACCACTTGACAGACTGAGTGCTGATTGGCCGACTCTCTGCAGTGTGCACGAATAAATGCTTCCTCCTCATTCCCTCTTGCTTTTTGACTTGCTCTGCTGGCTTTTTGGTTGCCTTGAGACCGAGTGGTGCACTTTGAGACTCCGCCCCTTCACACTTGCCCTCTAATGTTTTTTTAGGTGGGAAGGGGGGAAAGAAGAAGAGGACCAAGGGTGGGAACAAGACCCCGAAGAGTAATGGGTCATGCTGGGCTAACATTCCCCTGCCCCCGCCGCCCATGCAGCCCCTGCCCGGCACTGAGATGGAGCACTACGCCCAGGGGCTCGAGGGGCCAGGGTAGGCGGGGCTACACCACAACAGGCCTACACGCAAAACACACCCACCTACCCGTATATCCATACACAAAGGTATAGGCATACATGGGCACACACATTAATTCAGACCAAAACAGTGGTAGAGGAGGACAGACCCACACAACATTATAGAATTACAATTTGCCAAGCAGACACTTTAGCCAAAGCAGTTGAGAAATCAGGGTCAGCCAGACCCTGGAGCAAATGGAGGTTAATAGCCTCACTCACAGGATTTGAGCTGGTGACCTTCTGAACACAGACACATTGCTCTAACCCACTGAGCCTAAATACTGGCCTGACAGAGACACACGCATATATAAGCACTCATTCCTGTCAGGGTCTGACTGTCGTAACCCCCCCCACAAAGATGAGTACTTGCGTGGTTTTATTAATTCACATCGGAGGACCATATTTGTGTAAGGAACTCGTTTTGTTTAAGGAAGATGATGTCACCTTCCGGAGCTGAAACCAGACTCCCCCTAGGGGTCAGGGCAAAATACAGCATCCGTCAAACCCATTGAAATTGGCGGTTTGTTAGATGGCCATACCAGTTTTCTCCGGAAGTCGGCATTTTTCGCTGGAGTGTTTGAGATGCACCTCACCAAAAACTCACATGGCACCTGTACTCCTAACACAGGATTGATTTTATCGTGTGACCGTAGAATGTAGGGGGCGATGGTGAGCAGCCTGTATTATTAGACCAACTTCTCCGGCGCCTCTCCCACCAGGTACACGGGTGACAGCCTGCACCGGCCTCTTCCTCAGCAGGCGTACCTGCACCAGGGACCGGAAGATGAGCTGGAGGAGGAGCGAGTCCCGACCCCACCTATCAGGGGCGTGGCCTCCTCCCCGGCACCAGTGACGCTCAGTCCCTCCACCAGTGAGGAAATGCACTCGGCGCTGCAGGCGCACTTGGATGAGCTGACGCGCGCCTACCAGTTGGACGTGGCCCGGCATGCATGGTGAGGAAGGAGTGAGGGAGAGGTGTGGCCTAAGTCAAAGACACACGTAGCATTTAGCATCATACCTCAGTCCATTTCCCTTTTATCTTCCTGGTATTATTATATTCCCCGGACAGGAAATACATATGGTTTTGGGACAGGTCCACTTCAGGCATCAACATATTCTTGTTAGCATGATAACTCAAAAAGTCTTTGATGGGTCATTTTTCAAACTATGCAGACACATTGTATGGGTGAAGATCTGAAAATGATCAAATGTTGAGACAGATCACACCAAAATTGATACAGCACCATTTAGTGATATCAAACAAAAGGTCAGCCTCAACCTCGTATACCATTAACATGATAACTCAAAAAATATTTGATGGATCTTTTTAAACTTTGTGGTGGTGGGGGGGGGGGTATCTGGAACTATTCAAATTTTGACGCATTAGTTTTTTAATCACATTAAAATAGAAGCAACGTCACTTAGGGACAGCAATGGGTAGGGTAGAAACAGAAGACAATTGACTTTATGAACATGATAACTCATGTTCATAACTCATGATAACTCATGATCTCGCGCAGTGGCAAGATCGTAGCCTATGAGGTTTAACCGAGGCGTGATTATTGCTGGTTGAAATCTTAACCCAATACCCTGCCACGACAACTTGAAATATAGTTGGCTTTGGCAATAGTGGGCAGTGGTGGCTTGATGGTTAGAGAAGCGCACTTGTAATTGAAAGATTGCAGGTTTGAATCCCTGACCAGCAAGGCACCACTGAGGTACCCTGAGCAAGGTACCACCCCAAGCACTGCTCCCCGCTGAATTAGCTGCCCCTGCTATGTCACGAAAGTCACATATGGGTCAAATACAGAGGACACATTTCGTTGTTGCACACTGTGTACTGTGGTGTGTTGACAATGACCACTGATCACTAAATTCTAAAAGCATTTGATGGATTTTATTACCACTTTATAAAAACATTATATGGATGAAGATCTATACCTGGTTTATTTTGAGAAAAATCGCAGCAAAATTGAAGCAGCACCACTTAGTGGTAGAGTTTGTAGGTGGGCTAGAGATTGTAGAGGTTGGGGGATGTGGGAGGATCACAGATTAGATGGGGGGGGGGTAATGGGGCTGTCTGTGGAGTACATTGTTGTGATTTCGACAGGATCTAGTTGCCTTTTTTCTATCCTTGGTGCACAATGTCAAAGAAGAAAAGGTGGTCACTGCTCATATGACCATGAATTAGTAAAATGACAACAATTCCGTCTGTTTGAAGCATGCGGCCACCTTTGCAAGTGCTTATTTGAGTTCATGTTCAATGTACTGTGAAGCACGTTGCAATGTGGGTCCCACAGACCTACTAGTAGTAAACTGGCAACTTTCACAAAATGCAGGCTGCCACTCTGCATCCCCGGCTCTGTGGAGCCGTTTCATGGATGCATCCATGTCCTCTTATATTGCCCCATAGGCAGCTGCAGACCAGCCAAAACCCTCCTCACACTCCCGCTCCACCGGTTGGCTATGTATCCGGCGCCCTAGCTTCCGACCTGGAGAGCGACGTCCTGGATGAGGACGAGGAGGATGAGGACGAGGAAGAGGAGGAAGAGGAGGATGAGGCAGAGCGCAATGGCTATGAGCTGTCCAGCCGACTCTGCGGCATTGACCCTGGGCTCAGTGTGAACCACCTGGATGGCTCCTTCACAAGTGAGTCAATCACAGGTGATCCTAAATACGCCTGGACAACTCCTTCACAGATGAATCAGTCATAGAGAGACCTAGATATACCTGGACAGTCCATCACATGTAATTGTAAGCCTAATTCATTACAGATGTTCCGCGGGGTACGATCAGGGTACGTTCCGATAAACCTATGGTATGGTGAAAATATCATATGGAGAAAATGCATTTCAATACAGTACACCTAACCTAACAAACATCACAGCCTTGCCTAGCAAAACCTTGAACATGCTTAGAACACATACATTATCCTACAGCTGGGCAAAATCATTAACAGACAGCCTATTTAATAATCAAATATTGAATATCTCACGTAATTTATTAAATAATGTACTGAAAGTGAAAAACGGAATGGAATTTGAATGCCCGTCGTGAAGTTGAAATATCCTAACACATACCATCGTAACCTGGGGAATGTCTGTATATATTTTGCTGCCCAGGCAGACCTTGCACTGCACACCACCGCACTGCTTGAGCTTTGAATTTTTGCTTCACGTCCAATAGTAGCCATTATTGACTGAGCCCATTGCAATGAACTAGTCATTTTAAATCCAGCAGTCACTTACACTACATATGATCTTCTGCTTGTGGAAAATTCACGTTATTGGGCTTCAGTTATTTTTCTGCAACCGTGTCTCACCATGAAGCTGATGTGCCCGAATCCGACATGCTGTTGCATTTTTTCCCATTCCTCTAGCATGTTAAATGTGGCTGGTTTATAATAAGTACTGTCAAAAGGAGATGGAACTGAGCATGAATTTTGAGAAGGCAAAGCAGTCAAAGGCTGAGAGGGTGAGGGAGTGAGGGAGAGTGGGGGAGGGAGGAAGAAAGAATGAAAGGCAGGGAAAGCGAGGGAGGGAGAGAGAGGTGGAAGGAAAGGGAGGGGGACAGAGAGGAAGGGGAGAGAGAGAGGGAGAGAGAAGGAGAAGGAGGGAGAGAGAGAGGGGGGAGGAATGGCAGAGAGAGGAAGGGAGAGAGAAGGAGAGGCAAGTAGGGAGGAAGAGAGAATGAAAGGCAGGGAAAGCGAGGGAGGGAGAGAGAGGCGGAAAGAAAGGGAGGGAGAGAGGAAGGGAGAGGGAGAGAGAAGGAGAGGCAGGGAAAGCGAGGGAGAGAGAGGTAAGGAATGGAAGGGAGAGAATGAGAGGGGCAGCAAAAGATAGCAAGAGGAACACAGAGGGAAATAGAGTGAAGGAGGGAAAGGGAGAGAGGGAAGGAAAAGTAGGCAGAGGAATGCTGCGAGGAAGAGAGGGAGGGAAAGGGAAAGATAGAGGAAAAGGGAGGAGAAGCAAAGGCAGGAAACGAGGATGGGAGAGAGACAGGAGAAGATAGTAAGAGAATCAAGAAAGGAGAGAAAGAGGGAGGGAAATAGCCTGGGATAGGGAGAAGAAGGGAAAGATGGCAAGTGAAATACAGGGAGGAAGAGAGGGAGGGAAAGAGGGAAACAGTGAGGGAATAAGAGAGAGGGAGAGAGCCATCGTTTCATAGATTCCTGAATGGTCTTTTTGACTGACTTCTGTGTGCCGATATGCTCCTTGTCGGCACAGATCATGCAGATGGTCTGCTGGAGCACAGTGCCGAAACACATCAAACCTGCCTGAAAACAAACTCGCCCAATGTGTTCCGGCATTCTATGCCTTTATGACACGGTGCCAAACACGCTGCTCTGGACCCGGCATTGTGTTTGCGTGTGTATGTATAAGTCTTACACAGACCAGGTGGTAGATTCGGCTAATCTGCTAAATGTAAATGAATGCTGCTGCTGCGGCTGTTATTGTTGTTTTTCCAAAGATGGCCGCTTTCCTGATTAGATTTACATATTAATTAGTTTTGCCAAAGTGCTAATTGTCAGCTCGTTTGTACTGATGTTAAGAGGGCACCCTTTCTTATCGCCCCCCCCCCCCCCACAGGGAAAGGTTTCGCACATCACCCACAACCAGGCAGTCCTCCCCTTGTAGATGGCACTATGATGGGATCCCGCAGTCTTGGCCACCAGAGGGCGCCACAGTATGCCCTGAAAAACAGAGCTGGGCGGCCAGAGTATTGTGGAACCGAACCACACCGACGGGACATGGGTGCAGGCGGTAAGGGCTGTAGGGCAGGCTCTGTTATTGGCTGGTCTGGGTCACATACCGAAGGTATCGATCTGTAGGTCCGCTGCTGGTTCCTCACTGCCTGTGTCACCTAACAGGGTGGAGAATGTTTCAATTCAATTCAGTTTATTTTTATGTAGCACCTTTCACAACAAAGTCACCCCAAGGCACTATACAAGAGTGTGTGGCAAACCATTATTACATTATTTATACAAAATGGTGCCTGAAACATGGATAAAAGGAAGTTGGAAAGAAAGCGAGATAGAAGAGAACATAGGAGAGGAACCAAAAACTCCTAAGTAGGGAGAAAAAAACCTTTGGGGGCCCATGGCTGCCCAACCCCCCCGGGCGTGCTAACATTATAGAAAACAGTGAGGACAGAGCCTGCTTTAACAACAGCCAGGTGTGAGCTGTGGTCTCAGTCAGAGTCTGTCAGTGAGTCAGGTCTCAGTCAGGGTCTGTGTGAGTCAGCAGATCGTCGGCCGCACCCATGATGTCACAGCTCATAGGCCGCAATTTTAACCCAATGACACTGCTAAACTGCACCCCTTTGAGAAACAACCACAGTGACTTCATCCCATTGCCTGACAGTCTACTCCCTCCCCTAACCCTGTTTTAGATACAACCACTCCTCGTTTAGCAACCGAGATCCTTTCCAACGACCAGGATGATAAGTGAAATGATTGCTAAGTAAAAATCACGGTAGCCTAGATATGACAGCGAGTGTGCTTGTGACTTTAAGTCATAAGTACTAAGTATCTTTTATTCTGCATGAAGTGAACATTTTAACAACATTTTGTACATTCTGCTTCAATAATCTCACTCACTCCAATGTGTGTTGTTGTCAGACTTCTAAATTTATTGTTGTAAATGTGCGTATCCGTCAGAAAATTTATTTTTTATTAGTCGTATTTGCAAATGATCACTGCAGTTAATTGGTTATATGTGTAAAGCTGACTTTAGTCCCCTATTTCGCAGATGAAAGTCTTCATCCATACTGCCCGCCTGGCTTCCTGGGTCCTGCCAGCTCTGTGAGCCGAGGACCCCGCCAACGCGCCGGCCCAGATGCCTTAGGGGCGGGCCTCCAGGGAGCCAATGAGGAGCTTCAGCACTTCCGGGATCTCTGTGAGTCAGCAGTTCCTTTTTAAGTGTTTAACTAATACCAGTATCCATTATGAAAGTTTAGCCCATCCATCTGTGCATTGCTCCCTCCACTTGAAAGTCAACTGCATTTTTTTTCGGTCAGTTGTGCTCCCACATGTCGTCAGATGCGTTATGAGCCTGGGGCATTCAAGGCTGAAGCCCCAAATTAATCCAAATGAGCTCCACATGATTTGTTTAGCTCAGATGCTTTACTCTCAGTTCATACATCACGACAGTTCTAGTGCTGGACTGCATTTCCCAGAACTTCCTTATTGATACAATCATCATAACTTCACAGAGAGAGGATTCAATATGTTGACCTTTGGACAGGTTATGTCCCCTGGCTAAGCTTCTGATGTCTTAAGATCCCAGCAATGCCCCTGCATGTAATGTAGCTTTCTATATTCAAATTAAATTCCTTAACCCTGAATGGAAAATGTTATCTTTCCACTCCACTGACCACTCCAAATGCATACTCTGTGTTGGATGCCTGTGTTGGACAGGCATCCCATCCAAGGTGTTCTATGCCTTGTGTTCTGTGCTGCATGGTTAACTTCCATGCTCACCTACGTTTATATTAATTTATGTGAATTGTAAATATTAGCGGCCCCAGCATAGAGCCCTGAGGAACCTGGGAGAGATACCCAGAGGTTAAGACTCTGAAAGCTCTTTTATTTGATATTCATTAGTGCCTGTTTAATACAAGTACAGTATCCTGGATACCTTTCTGGAGAACAATAAATATATCTTGCTTTTTGACAGTCTCTCTTGTCGTCTGTCCCATAGAGTGGCACCACGGCAAAAACACCAACCAAATCGTCACTGCCAGGACTTCTTGTCGCAAGAGGGAACTCTGGCAATCAGCTTATTGATGGAACACTGACCGAAGACATAAAGGAGGAAATGAATGACAAGAACTGGACAGCCCAGTAAAGGGAGGTGTATGGCAACTGCACATGCCATGTAAAGACACACGGACACACCACTCACGACATGAACTAAATGTTCTTTTTCTGTCCTCCTTATGGGAACTCCTGGTCCTATTGGGAGAAGTCAATCTGTAAACAAGGGAATTCTGTAAACAAGGAAAACGAAGAGGGGGAAGACCTGCCATTGTCCCTTGAGGACAGAAGAGATTTTGTTTCTGTAAATATTTTTTAATTTGTTGTTGCATCGCTATGCAAGCAAGTCTCCCTTTTTTAACACGCGAATTTTGTTTCTGAATGGTTATTTGTACTGTGTAACCTGTTGATGGGCCGTGGTGAAACACTCCTGTACTTTATGTTCCTGTTCTTAATTTAATTATGGAAAATTTATTATTATCATAATTATTATGAACAACACGATGGATCAATGTCGTTATTTTGCACGATTGTTTTTTGGTGATAAGCACAAACAGCCCGTGGACACGAGGAAGCTGAGGGCCATTTGAAGAGGAAGAGTAAGACTGAGAGATGCATGCAGAGGACCTCCATGAGGTAAAAAATTATGGCAGGAATTGACCTCCAGGGGGGCAGAAGGAGGAGGTGCTGGTGACTCCCATCATCTAGATGTGGGGAAGAAATGCCCACAGTGATTGTTTTGGTTGTGGTGGGAGGGGCGATATTTTTTTCACAGCTGCTTATTTTACAGACGCCTGAACGAGAGATTTAATCTGTACTTAAAAGAAATATGTTGGTGAACAGGGGTGATTCTAGGATTTTTTAAGGGGGGGGCATAATTCATATAGTGGGGACAACCTTATCATTAGCCAATAACATGGTTTGAATTGATGAGTGACAGAGGAGGCTGCATTCCGGGGGCCAATCAGCTTTCAGCTTGGGCCAAGTGGCACCGGCGCTTTACACGCCCCTGTTGGTGAAGCACTTTTAAGTGAGTTCACATAGAGATAAACGTGTGAGAGAGATGTACGGTGACGAAGGGAAGATGCTTTGATTATTTTGTCATGTTCCGAGGAAGAAAAGGAATCATGTTGATGGGGGGGCACACTGATCACCTAAATTGTAACCATGGCAATACATTTAAAAAAAATGAAAAATCCAGGCTTGTTATCAGATAGTCAGGAATGAGTCGCATTGTTGTTCTGGTGATGGGGGGATGGGGGTGGTGCCCAGGGGCTCCTCCTACTGGTGGACCAGGGGACTGGCAGGTGCATCCAGGTGGAACTGGGCTCCTCACGTTTATCAACCCCAGCCTGAACTTCACTGCCTCACTGTAAGCTTGTACCTTTATATTTGTGTTTACCCCCCTCCCCTTACCCACTGCCTGACCCACCCCCCCATGCCATGTCCTGCCTCGGGAGATACAGGCAATTGCAGTATGAACATTTTTCAACCTACAATGCAAATAAACGTATGTGTGAAACCCAACATGACCATCCGTCTCTGTGGCATGGCTTCGAATCGCGGACTCCGCCCCTCAAGTTGAGCGAGGGCCACTCATGACGCTCCCTCCTGAATGCTACCGGCCACAGCCCATGCTTCCTAATCCTGATTGGCCGCCCATGCGGTCCCTGTCACATCCCATCATCTGGACTAGAAATGATATCCGTGTTCCATGCTGTTCTGCCCAGAATGATCCACGGAGACGAATAGAGGCAACCAGGTTTATTAGGGATTAAGCAAGGGGAAGTCGTGAGCCGTATCCAAGTTGTTGCCAGAAACCAGAAGCCAGAAACCAAAACGTGATCCTATGTCGTCGTCGAGAGAAGGGATACCGAGGGTCGAGAAGCCAGAGGTTCAAGCCGGAGACACGGAGGACAAACACTGGGAAATTCAAGAGGGGCTTCACGGGGAGGGCGGACGGGCAGGAGAGCAGGCAGGAGTTGGGGAAGGAGCGGGCAGAGCCAGGAAGACAGAACGCAACTGGGGAGACAATGAAAAGTTACAGCGCTCAGTATGTGCATAGCGACAATACCGATTAATGTCAGTGCGAGGCTTAAGTATGGTGGTTTCCATTGGTTTCCGGCGATTGTTGCCAATCACGTGAGGTGGACGTGACACATGCGCTCCTCTGTTAGTGGACGGATTCAACCGGAAAGATGGTGGCCATTAGCGCTGCATCGTTTGTGTAACTCCAGCCATTTAAATGTGACGCATGAGCAGATGCAGGCCACTTTTAAACCTCAAGGCAGGAGAGTGTTTGTTTTCTGGCTGATGCTTATTGCTAATTAGCCCTTGAGTGAATTTACAGCTCAGTTTAATGTAAATGCATTCAGCGTAGTCTAGCATGTGGACCTGTAATACACACACACACACACACACACAATCCATGTATTCCTATCTTTATGGGGACTCTCCCCTCATTCCTATAGCATAACCCTAACCCTAACAATGACAACCTTAACCCCTACCCAGCTCTAACCTTAACCATAAGTAACCAAAAAAATACAAGACTTTTGGCATTTCTAATTTTTTGATTACATTCACAGATCTTTGTGGGGACCTGAGAAATGTCAAAATATTATAATTATTAATATAATATAATGTAATATAAACATAAACCACACAAATCTAATTACCTGGCAGATAGATTTATCCAGACACGTTTACAATGCTCACAATATGTACTTATAATCCTTCAAGCTGATATCCAGAAAACTGAAACCATAACTACAGTGTCTCCCTGCAGTGCGAAGATTCAGCCCTGGTCTGAACCATCGCATCGCCATGGCTAATTTGTGGCAAAGCAGGCAGCCAGCAGTATTATTATCTACAAGAAAGATTAATATTGGGTTGTATAATATCGTGCAATTTGAGTAAAGTATCGAATCTGAGCTGGATAGCTCTCCCGGAATACAACGATCAGCTGAACTAATATGTAATATTATCCATGGATGACATCGACCTCCCCTTTAATTAATTAAAGGGGAGGGGCTAATTAATTGGGGAGGTTTTTTCTGAGTTGAATAATGTGCTGATAATGGTTTTTAAAGGGACTCTCTCCTGTGTCCACAGCCTGAAGGCTGAGTCCATCTTCATCACCTCCTAATCACTCTGCCCTTGCCCAGTGCGACCTCGTTAATGAGGAACCGCCCTGAGAAACAGGGCGTGGCCCATCTGAATTAATTACCCCATTAATTGGATGTGCCGTATGTGTGCCTGACAGGGGTTTGGCCATGGGCCTTCCAGCTGTTGTGACATTAACCTTTTGGACTGAGATACTTAGAGAAAAAACTAGAGAAAAAGCAGAACGTGAGGCTGGGAACTAAGATTTCTGCTTCATTTTTCACCACAAAGGCGTTTTTTTTTTTTGATATGACGTGACACTATCCTCCGTCTATAGCAGCCAATGGGGAATTAGACGCACCCTTAAATACATGTCATTTTCTTATCCGTAGCTTCTGATTGGGCTCCTAGTAATTGCCTACCCAGTAATTGCCATCCAATCGGAAGACAAAACCTGTGATTGACGGGTTTTCAACCAGGCCCTTGACTTTGGTGAAAAGCCCAGCTGTCTATCAAGGACTCTTTTTGTGTCCATTTGGCAAAATAAATAATAAATAAACAAGGCAGAAACTTCAAGTGTGAAAGATCAGACGGGGAAAAAAGGACCAAGCAGATGGTTAAAACCGCACACTGTGCTCGCATGGGGGTCTGCGGGGACTCCGCCCTGATACACAGCATCTAACTGTCAGCCTCGTGCCGTTCCTGTCCTGCGTGCTAGCATAGCTATTACACTCTGCCTGCATCCTGGGGAAAATTAGCAGCCCCCCACTCTTACCACCATGAGCAGGGTGTGGAAATCCTTCCGGATAACCCTTATCCAGCTGCAGCTTTAGTTAGTATCACAGTGGAGCTTAATTACTGTTATTTAAAAGAGTAGGCAAAGCTCAAGGGATTCTGGGAGTCACAATGAGCTCCTCCGATGGTTCAGCAGATGCAAAAAAACTGACATAAGTTCCCTGCACACCTCGGTGCCAACGCAGAAACAAAGCATAAGTGGAAGACCATTGTTTTTTTGTTGTTTTTTTCTTTTGTACTTTTAGTTCATGATAAATCGCTTCCCTGGTTAAGCACTTACAATCCCATGCATCGGTAAATGTAATTGCCTTTATGTTGTAGCTGGTCGTAAAGGTTCTTAAACCAGCATTAACAAAAGGTTAATGATGGAACTTTGTTTGCTGGGAATCTCGCGCAGCTGTCTAAGGCTATGGGACCGCACCCACCCGGGACACAAAGATGCAGTCGGAAGTGAAAGCCTGCATGGGGGAGAGTGACAGCCATTCCTGGGGGGTGAGAAACTGGAGATAGCACAGAGACAGAAAGGGATGCGGCAGATGACGATTAGGGCTGATTTCTCCTTTTTTTCTCGTGCTTAATTGAGTCAGGCGGCAGAGAGGTGCCGCTAGCAGGCGGCCTGATCCTCGGCCGCAGCGTTTAATCGTGCCAGAACGCAGTGGGAGTGAAGCGTGCTAGGAAATGTTTAATCTTCCCGAGCTGCCATTTAATTGTGTGGGTTGTAGAGAAGGGGAATCGTAGGGGTGCCGGGGGCGGGGGGGGGGGGGGTAGGTGGTCGATGGTGTGGGGGGGAGCTATCTGGCAGCCATGTCCTATTATACCATGGCTTCAAAATGATTTTGGGGGGTGGGATAGTAATTAGAGGGGGAAACAAACAAACAGTCAGCATGATGAGGACATTGTCAAATTATTTCAGGTTGTTACAAACCTTCAGGGATGTAATAAAAAATGGGGGTGGAGCCAGATCAGGAAGCTCAGAGTGAATGGAGTGATGGGCTGCTGTGGCTGAGAAGCTCCCTAACAGGCCTCTCTCATCATTGTAGGGGGATGACTTTTCCTACTGTTTATTCCTCCAATGTCTTCTTCCTCTTAGCATTATTATTATTATTATTACTCTTATTATTGTCTATTATTATTATTATTATTATTATTATTATTATATTTTTAATTCTGGAATATTTCTGTGGCTAGCTCCTATGTCAAGCTAAGGCCAAGACAGTTATTATTATAATAATTGTTGTTATTATTATTATTATTATTATTATTATTATTATTGTGTTGGTAGTCTTTGTTGTGCATTTATCCAGAATGAAAGCTAATGACATTTTTGCCTATTTGTACAGTGGAGAGGTAGGACATCCTGATCCCGGAGTGCTGGTATCCAGCAGGTTTTCTATCCTACCTAATGAGTTACTATCTGCCTGAGGTCAGATGCGGTTAATCAGAGACCAGGTAGGATGGAAAACCTGCTGGATACCGGCACTCCGGGATCAGGGCTGCCTACCCCTAGTATAGCTGGATGTTCTGCTGTAGAGTCAATAACTTATTCAACTTCACATGCTCAGCCGCTACGCCACCTGCCAGCGATCTGGTGAACGGGTGGCCTTCTGCTTGAAAAGGCAGCCGGTCCAAAGCTGGATTTCGCTGGAAGGTATGAAACTGAAGGAGCTTCAAGAAGACAATGCTGGGCAGCCCGACTGAGCCAGATGCAAATGGCTAAAGTTAAAGTTTGTATAACCCCCATGGTCCCACGTCGAGAAGATAACAGCGAGAGATAAGCGAGGAGGATGGATGTTTGGTAGTTGGTGCTTGTTTTTCATTTAATTTTGTATTAACTGCTGCATTCTGGAGCAGGAACTCAGCGACATTAACTCTGTCCTGCCAGCCTGCCTGCAGTCATACTGTGTATAGAGAGACCAAGTAGAGCGGTCACTGTGTTTCAGTCAGGCATCAGCATGGTCACCAGGTTTACGGATTAGCCAGTACTAACCAGTCCACATTTGCTCCAAGTTTCCCTGGACTTGACCACACAGGTGCTGTGTAGGAAGGCAGGGACTGGCCGTGGCAGCTTCCAGGGCACGGACATCTGCGCGGCACAGCGGACATCTGCGCGGCACAGCCGGCGGGCAGCGGGCACGGCAGCCGCATACCTTGGCGCGGTGCCGCTGCCGGCCGCACGCGCTCAAAGTCACAGCCAGTCAAAGTCAAACAGAGGCGCTCACACACAAGCCGCTCGCATGGTGTCTAATTTGCTGCCTAATGGCCTGACACCCCCGCAGATGTGAGTGGGTGGGGCTAACACTGAGCCTGGCTTTGATTGGGTGACAGCGAGTGGGGCACCTGTGACGGGCACCCACACGTTGCCCTGGCTACGCGGCGGTCCCGTATGGCGCCTGGCGCCGTACCGTCGCTCCGGTAATTAACTCCGATGGGGTCAGTAGGAGGTTAATTAAGCAGCGCATCTCCCAGAAGCCCTGGAGGGGTAGGCGTCAGAGCCCGTCGTCCGCTGTCTAACCGAGCAGGTAGATGGCCAAGAAATGTACACAGGCGCTGAACGGCTGACTGGCTGTCAGTCACAGGAAGTG